GTCAAATCTTGACTGATTTTTCTCAAGTAAAGGTCAGAATAACTGCAGTAATATCTCCAGATGAACTCTTACTGGACTGAAGCAGCTCAGCTTTAGTTGATTCTCCATCAATCATGTTTTAGAGTCTCAAATCTGATCCTCAGGATCTTTTGAGGAGCGTTTGTTTCCAGAAGCTTTACTTTCACTGTTCCTCAGCGGAGGAATGATCTTCACAAGCCTCCAGAACATCTCACATCTTCTGAGGAGCCTTTATTTCTTCAGCTCTCAATCACTGCATTATATGTTTGGAGCATTTCAATCTCATCTTACCGAGACATATTACTGGAGATATAGAGACGACTGATATTTAGGTCAGTTTATGTCAGTATCTGCTCTACTGTTATAAAGATCTCACTGATTTACATCACAAGCATCAGAACTTCATCATATAAATATCAGCATCTGCACCTAAATTACATATCTTTGCTCAGTTTGAGTCTCTCCATATTCTCACTATATGAGCCATAAAATTTTATTTTTTTAAATATTTTTTCTAAAGGTTCAGTAAACTGTTCCATTTTTAAAAAATTTGATTTGTCTGACTATTATTTCATATGTCCGGCTTTCCAGGGTTCAGTGAACCGCTCGGTTTCACAAACTGAGATCTTCCAGGGCTTTAAAGGGTTCATCTTTGACCACAGAACACATGGCAGCTCTGAGGTGGAAGTGAAAGCTGTGAGTGTGAAAAGAGGCTGATATGAAGCACTGTGTCTGTGGAGGTCTGACCTGGACGAGTGTCTGCGTTTACAGCAGCAGCAGCAGCAGCAGACGGTGACGGCCAGCAGCAGAGTCCCACACACCACAGCCATCGCGATGATCAGAGCCTCGAAGTTCACTGAAACAACACACAACACAACACTGAAGATCAGAGATCCGTGTGTTGGTCACTACTGACACCTGCTGGACGTTTACTGACACCAACTCCGTTCTCATGATTGAGGAGTCCTGCGGTTGTTTTTATTGATATCATGTGAGTGTGAGCACTAAAACTGCATCATCTAGATTACATATTATAACACAATCAGGTCTGTTTTGACCTAGAAAAGATCCATAAAAATTTCTGATTTTTTTACAATTATTTTTAAGAGATTAAAGCAATAAGCCCCAAGCGTCGTGCCTAAAACCCCCTTAGCTGTTATAAATTCACAGCTTCACGGGGCTTATTGCTTTTATAAAACGGTTATTCACATATACGTAGTTAGGTTTCACAGAATAAAACAGAGCAAATAAAGTGTAATGATATTAATAAAAACAGTGTTCTTCCACCAAACAATGTAGCTCCTCAGAAACAGTTGTGGTTGCTACAAAGTGGTTGCCGAGCAACACACAGAAGTAAACAAAGGTGTATGTTACTTTGTAGAGTCATTTACAACAGCTTCGAACGCGGCTCAGCCAATCAGAATCAAGCACCGGAACTATCTGTTTTATAATTTTATTTTTAAGAGATAAGCATTTAAAAACATTTAACACATGTTACGTTCGGGTAATTTTGAGCTGGGTATGTATGGAGTACATTAGGTGCCAAAACACATTTGTAAAAGTATCTACGTTGTAAAATATATTCAGTCTTTTCCTCATATCTCACACACGTGCTGATAAACATGAATATGTACGTCTATTGATGAACCACTGCAGCATGAAAAACTAACTATTATTTTTGATTACTAAGTAAAATAATTGTTTTGGGTTTTTTTTTACTTTTTTTTTTTAGTAATATTTATGTTGTTTTGATTGAAATAAATATGCAGGTTTCATAAATTTGGACTGTTTTTGAGCAATCATGAGTTATAAATTTAAAGGAATTTAATTAAATTCCATTCATTCCAATGGGGTTAATATCAGTAATTCTTAGATTATATGTTCTTATAAATTTCATGCATTTATTTATATATATATATATATGTGTGTACAGGAACGTAGTTTTTTGGTGTGGTTCATGTGTAATTTTAATTATTTTTTTTAGAGGTAAATGCAATAATATAATGGTAACATTCAACACTTTTTGAAATGTTTTTACATTCGCGCATTAATGAGAAGTTGCTGATCAGATACAAAATGCTTTTAGCTGAAAAATAATAACAGCCCCAGAATGCAAATATATATATATTTTTTTTTTTTTTTTGAATGCATTAAGAGGGTTAAAGGAGCAGTTCAGCCAGAAGAGAATAAGAGTTTTTGCATAAATAATAAAATAATTTTAATCTTAATGGCCCTACACAAAAAAACTGAAATGGTGTAGAAACTATTTTTTGCTAGTAAATTTCAGAATGAATTATAAAGAAATGGCAGGTAAAACACTGACCTCAAACATAAATCTCTGAAATAGAAAGACTGAAATTATGTTTTCTTGTAAAATATACTCTAGGCTAATTATCTTTGTTTTATTTACAACTTCAAAAATATATTTTTTTACAGTGTACAAAACAGGCTTGATTTTCTTTATGCAAAACAATTTATTTTTTCTTTCTTTTGATTTTGTGATGAAATATGAGCAGGGGACTCTGCTCTCATCCAGTATGGTTTCACTTTCAATTCGACATAATCAGGACATTTTAAGTGACTCTGAGTGAATGTCAGGTAAGTGATAAGTGGCTTTGTGAAGCTGAAACTGACTTTTGAAACACACGACACATTTGAGACTTTCACTGTAGAAGTGAGAAACAGCCGGCTGCTCATTATCACTAAATAAAACTCGACAGGGACTTTTATTGTGATGAAGACAGTCTGAATGTACATTATCACACCACTACTTATCAAATAAATAACTAAAGAACAGGTAAAGCATAAATTATTTTATTTTCTATACTCGACGAAACTGTATCCTTTACTAAAACTATTAAAAACATCTAAAATAAAGCGGAAATAAAATATTAATACTAGATTAAAAGCTTAAACTACAGGAGAATTACAAAGGTTGCCATGGCAACTAACTGAAATAAGTTTAAGCTGAAGTACTAAAATTATTAACCGAAATAAAACTAAAGCTGAAAAAATAAATTGCACATAAAATCACTAAAACAAATTCTAAAAATGTAACTGAAAGTAAAATAAAAACTGAAAATATAAAATATATAATTCAAAATAATAAAACTATAACAGTATTATAAATAGCACTAGGTTTCACAGATGAGCGCTCAGTTATACTGTGTTCTGGATGACGGTCATCATTATTCAATACTATTTAACCGCTGAATGCCACGAACAGCCAATCAGAATCAAGTATTCTAGAGATCCGCATAATAATGAGCGTAATGTCCTCAGGACGTGACAAAACAACTGGGGACTTCCAGGCCTGAATGCAAATCTCCCTTCACCAATGTGAAAGTATTACTTCCATCAGCTCAGCAGCTGCTGTACATTAGAGATCAGCAGGTATATTAACCAGTTCAGTGCATCTTAAAGCTGCTTAAAGCACGAACATGAACTCACCCCAGCAAACACCCCAGCGCGCCTGAGAGAGTTTACACACCGAGGCCGGAGGAATCACATACGACACCGGATAATCTGAGCAGCTGCTGTTCGTCTGGCACCACAAACACTGCCGGAAAAAATCATATTATTGTTATCATCATTATTATTAATGTTAATGACATCCTCCAGGATGTTAGGGGGGAAAAATAATAATAATAATTATTATTATTATTATTATCGTTATTATTAATGACATCCTCCAGTGTTAAAAAAAACACGTATTATTATTATTATATTAATGACATCCTTCAGTATGTTACAAAAATATTTATTATTATTATTATCATTATTATTAATGACATCCTCCAGGATGTTAGGGGGGGGAATTATTAGTATTATTATTATTATCGTTATTATTAATGACATCCTTCAGTATGTTACAAAAATATTTATTATTATTATTATTATTATTATTATTATGTTGAAACAGCAGAGTAGAATTTTTTCAGGTTTCTTTGATGAATAGAAAGTTCAGAAGAAAC